CTCATCGTGTTATGGAGACTTGCTCCTGCTGGCTGGAACCCGCCCTTGCCAGCCCCCTTGGCATCGTAGTTACCCATGATCAGCCCCATGAACTCGGACATGGTATTGCGATGATACCACGGGGGCCGGAAGGTGTCTTCGGCCACCAGCCATCGGGGAGGGAAAATGACGAAATCCAGAACAGCTGTTCCTGCTCCGTGAGGATGAGACGGGGCAGACAAGACGGTGAAGATAGAAGGGTCGGGATGATCGTAGGAGATGCTGCCCACAGGGTTGAATCGGCCTAGATCGTACTTGTAGGGATAATAGGTGCCGTGCCAGCCCACAATGTCAAATGGGGTGTGAGATTGCTTGGCTGAAAAGAGATTACCGCCGAATTTGCCGTACAGCGTCCACTCAGTGTTCTCGTAGTCCTCGATGAAATCGGCCACCGGTGTCTGGAAGTCGCGTGCGTTTGCGAGACCATTGGAACCAATTGGTCCCAGCTCGGGCAATTTGAAGTGGCCCTGGTACAATTCACAGACGTACCCTCGCGCGGGTTCGTTGTTATGCAATGTAACGTGGTATCGAGTTCCCCGCGGAATGACACAGATTTCATTCGGTCGCACAAGCATCTTGCCAAATTCGGTTCGGATGTCAAGCACCCCATGTTGTGGAACAATCAAGAAATCGCCGTCGGCGCTGTAGAATGCCGTCTTGTCCGGCATGCTGCTGCCACAGGCGTAGATGTAGATGCCCAGGCCTTGTTTCATGGTGGGATCTCCCGCGCCAGCCACCAGGTGCAGGGAGTGAATCCAAGACACCTCTTTGTCGAAATCGAAGGGATCCCATCGCAGCTGATTCGGGATTACATTGAAATGGGCGCTGAAACTGGGAGTGGGAGAGGCTAGGGACTGCGACGAGGACGAAGGTACCGGTTGGAAGTTCTGGTGACTAGCAGAGGGAAGAATTCGGTAGAGCCATGTCTGCTGGTTCTCGTCTCGTGGCGCAGTGAAGGCCGTGCCTGAAAACTTCTCGTTGTACAGGCCGTACGGGCATTTTTGAGGAGAGTTTGCCGCTACAGGTAGCGTGCCTGGAATAGCTTCACTCCTGGAGAGGATCATGTCAGCCAATGGAAGACCAAAAAAAAAGCGTTGAGAGATCCCATACTCTTTGTACCCCCCGAACCCATTCAGATATTCGTACGTGTCGGTCACAGCGAATTGGGTTACAGGCATCGTCGATGGCTTGTTCGTCGGTAAAGGTATTCACGTTGCGAACTAATAACGGCAGTGTTAGTGACAAGTCACAACTTCTGTTGAGGCTGGGAGGTGAAGTGAATGAAAGGGGACGAGGCTGGAAGAGTTGACAAGAGCTGAGGAGCAGTGGATGGACATACTGGTGAGGGGCGTCTTGTACTTGATGTTGATGTCCTTGTTTTCGCGGTGCCTTTCGATGGCCTCTTGTAAACGTTTAAGGCCCTGCATGAAGGGCAGTATTGTCGTATGATCACCTGTGATGAGGAATGAGATAGACAGGTCAGAGAGGAGAGTGCGGAATGGTTTGTGAGAAAGCGAGGGACTGATTCCGTGGGGAGGAGGAATATGAATGAAATGCAAAACGGGCCCAAGTAGTCCCTCAGCCTGAAGATGGGATGCGAAGTGCAGAAGTGGATACAATCCCCCAAACAATAGTGCAGGTGCGCTAGGACCCAGTTTTCGTGAATATGCGAGGGAATCAAATGGGGAGGGGCTTGAAAGACACCGAGATGGACAGGGGTGGGAGTCACTGGTGATAATGACTTGGCGGTCTCCGATAGACCGCGAGCCCGAGCTACAAGCACAGCTCCATCACACCCAATGCGAGAAGGAGGTGTGGCCGTTGTGCCTCTGTGGTTGGACGGCCATGCCCGCAGAGTCATCTTTCCATGGCCACGCACAGCTGGTCAAACACGAGGACGGGCGAGAAATTTCGCTGCAACCGTCCAAGATTAGGTTAGAGGCAGGTGAGGGCAAAAGGCACGGACACAGTGGGATAGCATTCCGAGATAGGAATTGGAGATGCCAAAGCGCCGTGAATGGATGAGAGCAAGCCACTGGGGCCCCCGACAAGACATGGATAGCGGAATGAGGCGTAAGTTTTTTGTTTCTTTAGGGCTTGGACTCGGGCTCGAGGTGCCTGGACAGTGCGGGATGTCTGCGTCGCAAGCAAGTTTAGCAGCCAGTTTTAGGTGCAATTCGGTGGGCCTAGTGGCTGTTGTGGGCAGTGGGGCGATCGGCAGGGCGAATTGAGACGCCCAAACAAAACCCCGATCCCAGGCCAATGTCCCAATCTCCTGCCTCCTGTGCCGACTTTCCCGCTAAACAGCCCACCCTCTCGGTCGTTTGTGCGCTCAGTGACGCCTGCTTGTCAACTGCACACGCATGCACCCCTCACCACCAAACGACGCTGCCCTTTAACCGAGGGGTGTGAGAATGGTGAGAGAAAAGGAAGAAAGTGAAATCGGTGGTGGTGGGCTTGTGTGAGTCTGACGTCTTCTGATCAGTGCAAAAGAAGGAAAGATGAAAAGGAACGCATCTCCGGTTTTGCTGAAATTAGCTCGCCTGAAAGATGTTGCTGTTTCTGTGTCGGCTGCGCAAGAGGATGCGCCCGTGTGCGCCCTCGTTTTGGAGTCAGAATGACTGCGGGTGTAAGATGCTGATGCTCGTGCAGCGTGGCTGGCTGCGGGCTGCTGGCTTGTTGGCCCTCGGTGGTTATTTCTGGGCGCCCCGGGACAACTGTCTGGGCGGTTGGACGCATCGGTCAATGGGGCGACAATCTGCCTGAAGATCTGTGATGGGTGCGCCTGTGCCGTGGCTGGCTTCGGGTGCTCTGGGGCCCAAAGGGGGGATTGCAAGCAGCCCGTGTGTTGCCCTGTTCCAGCCCATGTTTGAGTTGTGAGGGGTCAAGGGGTGCCCCTGTTAGAGCCTATTCACCCGTTGTGCCATTGTAACCCATCATGACGGCTGCCACCATTCCGAGCAAAAACTTTGCTACTCCAACAAAATCACCCAAGCCAGCTGGCCTCTTGCCCGCCAATGCGCTGCCGTATGACGCCAGTGATCGTCACTTTTTGGATCGTCGTCGTCATTGTACTTTGTTGTGTTCTCGAGTGTTCACGGCCGATCCAGAGCACGTTGCCGGCGATCTCGAGCATGCGAAAATAGCCTGATATCTCAAACCTCTCTCTTCCAAGAGTCTGGGTTTCGGGTTCCTCAACAGCTGGCCCAATGGCTCGTATCTTGCGGAAAGTGTCGAATTATCCAGAAGGTCTCGGCAACGAACAGTTCACGAGGTGGCGACGTCCAATCACAAGGCCCTGAAGCACTCTGATGCTCCTCGAGCGCGGGGGCAACTTTGGCCGGCTCGGGCGGCTTGCTCGTACAACCCTTCCATCGTTTGGTCCTCAAAGATCCCCCGCCTCTCCATTACCATTCCAATATGTCCGCGTCGCAAACGTTCAGGCTTAGCGGAATGACGCCGGGACATCCAGAGGTCGCCAGTGAGAGGACAGAGCTGCAGCCAATAATCAGGTTTGCCATCAGAGACCTTGATGTCAGCGGCATCGGAGTTGCAACCGGACGGTGGCACAAATCGACTACAATACCGAGCGCCTTTTTGCGGGATAATAACATACTTTGGCGCACAAGTTGCACAAGTTGCACAAGTTACAAATATGGCTGACCCTTTAAACAGAGAAACAAACATGATTGGGCAACGAGATGTGAACAAGGACGAAATGAGATGAGATGAACCTACCCTGCGCATTTTCCATCCTGTTCCTCCTCCACTGCTCCGCGAAGTCTAGCGCCACCTGGATAGTTTCGTTGCGTTGCCACCAGGGGACTTGTTGCGTGGCATATAGACGCGGTCTGGACATGACGGGCGTTGTGATTGGACGGTTTCCGAGTATTGGGAGCCTTGCTATGTGTGGGCTTTCTGGGAAGAGCTCGTGTCCAACAATAGTTGCTGTGGTGTCCGCCGATGCCGACTAGGTGAAATGATACGTCTCGGTTCTTGGAAAGTGTTGCTCTGTCCCCAACCTGACCTGACCTCACCGAACAAGGCTCGGATCAAGCAACATGGAATTCCGAGGAGGATAAGGTGAGGAACCCTTTGCCAACGTGCTCCACGCCGGACGGAACGAGAGGACGCGAAGCTTCAGCCTAGTCGCTTCGAGGGCGATGGGCTATAATACTAAAGAATAGCGGTTTCCCCAGAAAGAGAAAGAGGGAGAGAGGGAGAGAGAGAGAGAATACACAGCCCAAGCAAGCAAGCAAGCAACCTTTCCAGTTTCTTTGATTGCTGAATTATATGCATGCACGTCCTATCTGTGCAAGACAACACACTCTCACACAAAAACAGCTATTTGTATGGTTACGCTCAAGGTCATCAGGTTGTCCCAACAAGTCTTACCAGAGGATCCAAGCTTCGTTCCCAAGTTTGGTTCCACGAGAGAAAGAGGAGGACCTGCAAAGCAAACTCTCTGGGATTGCCGTGCCCTACCCACTTTGAGGGGATAACTCAAAATAAAAACGGAAGCCCAGGAATTGATGCAGTACAAGAACTCTCTTTTTCATGTCAGAGTTGTGAAATACAACAATGTTACTGTTGGGCTAACACCAAGAAAGAAACGACTCAACCTGAACAACAGCAGCAGCAAAGACTTGGTTGGGCTTAGATCTCAACACAACCCCTGAACAAGATTCGTCCCTTTTACCCTCGACGACACCACGGCTCGTGCATATGATATAAAAAATTAAGATGTTCGAACCAAAGTATTCAAATGCTTAGGAAAGAATCCCAGACTGGGTCGTCGAATCATCATACCTCCCAAGCCGGGAAGGCTTTACAAATCTGCCCCCAGCCGCCACAATGCACAATGCACAACGGCTTCGAAAACTCATGCAGTTTTCCCCTTTGGGCCCTGCGGTGAGGGAAATTCGCATCAGTCTTTCTTTTTTTTTTTTTTTGTTTGCCCTCTAAAGATCCTTGGTCCGTTCCTCACTCGCACGGATCCATCGGTCGAGGGCCTCCTTGTTCCGGACCCGGAAACCGACCTTGAAGGGCTTGGGCTCGGTGGTGAGGGCGGTCGGGATGCTGTTACACTCGATGGCGTCGAGGATGGGCCAGTCCTTCGGGTTCTTTGCGGGCACAAACTCGAACGCCACGATCATGCGCAAAAACGCCGTGTAGATCTCGCGGTTCGCCAGGTGCGAGCCCACGCACATCCTGCTGCCCGCGCCGTAGCCGTAGTGGGGTGTCCCGCTGCCCTCTTGGTCGTTGAGGTACCGCTCCGGGATGAACTTGGCCGGGTCCTTGAAATGTGTCTCGTCATAGTCGGCCGCCCAGGCGTTCATGTAGAAGACGCTGCCTGCGGGGATGGTCACGTCGCCGTACTGGATGTCCTTGATGCTGGTCCTCGGGAGGCAGATGGGGATCACGGTGAAGTAACGGAGGATCTCTTTGGTCAGGGCCGTAATGTACGGCACCTTTTCTTCGGTGAGGCACTTCTCCCACGCCTCGCCATCTTCGGGATAAACTTTCATGATCTCTTCGTAGGCTCTCTTCTGAATGTGTTGGCCCTCGGGGGACGCCAGGTAGCCGAGTCCCATGATCATGTTGCCGGGGACCGTGTCAATGCCCGCAGAGACCATCGTCAAGCAGATGGACTTGAGTTCAGCCTCGTTGAGTGTTTCCTCGGGGTCTTTGATGATGTTGCCGGTGATGCAGGGCCTGTCGGTCCCATTCGCGATGCGCTCCTTGAGCATGTTCAGGAAAGTCGTGAGATACTTGTCCCGACGCTCTCGGTATTCTGCAGCTGATTTGTTCTGGCGGGAGATGAACGGCAGTCGCAGCAGGGGGATATAGTCTTGCCAATTGTTGGATGTGCTGCGGAAATTCGACACCACTCGTTCGACGTGGACAACTTGAACGGGAGACTGTCAGCTTGCCCGTTTCATGTCTAGAAAATATATTTTTGAAAAATAAAACTCACCTTCCCTGAGCAGCTCTTGATCGATTCCTCCGTCGATCCGGATACCGTAGTTCAACGTCAAACTCGTGTTGAGAGCAAAGCGGTGAAAGTACTTCCGCGGATCCAAGTCCAACGTGCCATTCATCGAGTCCTTGTACATGTCCTTGATGGCGACACAACTCTCCAAATCGATGAAAGGCATATAGCTCTGCACGGCTGGTTTGTTCAACGCCGTAGCCGCCACCTTGCGGCGTCTCTTACAGGATTCATCCCATGGCGATGTTCCGATGGTGAAGCCCTGGCTGCTCGAGACCACGCTGTGGAATGTGTACAGCGTAGGTCGGGAGATGAGAGCCGACTGGTTGGTGATCCAGAAGTGTTTGACCGAGTCGAACGTGTTGGCAAAGATGATGCGGCGGTTGCCCAAGCGGGTCTGGAAGACGGGCCAGCCATATTTCTTCGCCCATCGAGCCGTGACACGAGCGTGGTCCTCGCCCAGTTGTAGCAGGTTTCCAAACAGTGGCACACCTGGGATTTCAGGTAGGCCCTTGATTTTGGGCTGGTCGGTTGAATTCAGATAGCGGATCAGGAAGTATCCCAGAGCGAGGAAGACAAAGGAGAGAGTTGCAGGAGATATGATGACAGTCATCTTGGTGGTCGCTTTGGGAATTGGTCCACAGGTAAACAGAACTCGCTGAAAGTTGTTGTGATGGCCGTTTCATTCAATATATGATATAGGACGCACAGACAGTCAAGACCGTCAGACCTCAAGGCAGAAAAAGAAAGATATCGAGTCCGGCGTGCTAATAGAGGGCACAGCCTGCCGGTTGAGAAGACAAGTGAACGCTGCTGATAGAACTGAGAATTGAGAGATGGAGTCGGATTCCTTGAGAATGCAGAGGCTGGTCTTTCTCAATTATATCCTTTTGGCACACCGCCCACAACAATCGTAGTTGAGGAGACGTACTGGACGAATCTCGGACAGAAAATCCCCTCTCGTTCAACGCTTACCTGCGGTAGAGGGCGTGCAGTGGCAGGTGTCTCACGAAGGGGTCCTACAGTTGGAGGGGTGCCTATCATCCGCACTCAGTAGTGGAGGTGGAGAAGACGACGGCCTCGTAAAGGCATCCATGAGCGGAACGAGGCCGCTTCATCGTCATTGTTTGGAACATCACCCCCATCTCAAGTGGCCAATAGCGCGGGAGACAACGGGGTCGAGGAGGAGAAGATCGAATACGGCGAGAATCCGGGGAATGAAGTAATTATTAGCCTAACGACCCGCATCCAATTGGTGCAGATTCTTCTAATTGTGACCTAATCTTGAATCCCTCTATTACGATTGGTTGCTATGCAAATACCCCCAGATGCGGTAAGTTCTCTACGACCAGGTGCGGAATTGCGCAAGTGCGAGCTCGTCTGATACTTTTTGGCTCACTCTTCTCCGTCTATCCATCAGGTACATACAGTACAATTGACGTGCCGACTCAGATCTTAGGGGCAGGCAGGATCTTGCCCGAACACTCTCCGAAGCCTACAAGTCCAGACTCCTCGGTGCCGCAGACGCCGTACATTGTAATTGTGTCTCCATCGTCCAAGAACTTCCGCTCCACTCCTCCGTTCAACTTGACGCTTTCTTTCCCGCCCTTGGTTATTTCGAGCATACTCCCTTCCGTGCCTGCCTCCGTACCGCTGATTGTGCCCGATCCCAGGAGGTCACCAACCGCCATGGGGCATCCACCGATTGAGTGGTGAGCCAGCATCTGCGGAAATGAGAAGAGTAGATTGCGGCCGTTAGAATTCAAGATTGTAGTCGTCGAACCGCTCTCGGCTATTGCATATCTTTATGTTAGTCGTCAAACATACTTGGAGAACGGCGCTTACGGTGTGTCAGACTTACGCGTGATGTCGACCTGCAATCGAATGTCATACACATTCTTCTCCTCCTTCTCCTGTAGGTAGGGCAGCAGATCCGTCTCGTTCGGGATGCCCTTGCATCGAAACGGCTCCAATGCGTCGGTCAGCACCACCCACGGGCTGATGGTGGAGCCAAAGTTCTTAGCCAAGAATGGTCCTAACGGAACGTATTCCCATGCTTGGATATCTCGGGCGGACCAGTCATTCAGCAGCACGAATCCAAAGATATGGTCTGCAGCCTCAGAGATGGGAATGTTGGTGCCCATCTTGTTCCCTTTGCACAGAAAAGCGCCGAGTTCAAGTTCGATATCGAGTCGCCGGCAAGGGGTGAATATCGGTTTCTTGGGTGTTGCGGCGGGGTTTTCCAGGATCTGACCATTGGGCCTCGTAATCGGTGTACCTGAGATGACCACCGACGACGCCCTTCCATGGTAACCCACTGGCAAATGCGTATAGTTGGGTTGCAGTGCGTTGTCAGGTCCTCGAAACAGGCATCCAACGTTGAAGGCATGGTTCTTGCCGGCGTAGAAGTCCGTATAATCACCAATCTGCATCGGCATATGCATCTTGACTTGCTCCTTGGGGATTAGGCATTTTTCTTGCAGGGGTTTGTTGCTTTGTAAGACGTCCGCCAGAGATGTGTTCTCGGCGAAGACATCTTGCAGGTATTTTCTAACAGAGCGATGAACCGGTCTTCCCAAGGCCGCAAAGTCATTGAGGGTCGGCTTAGAGAAACACGAAACGTCAAACCCGAGCGATGAAAAGGCCCCCGAAGCTGCAAATTCCTGTAGGTCCAAGCAATGATCCCCAATTGCCACAGCTGGTCGTGGAGTAGCTTTGGATGTTGTAGAAATGATGCCAAAGGGCAAATTGGCCAAAGAGAAATGGCTCGACTTTGGGATTGGGAACCATGATTTGAGAGATGCCATGTTGATTGTCTGTTTCTTTGTCTTTTCTGTCCAGTTTGAAGTTATTCGATCACACAGTGCTTGTTGGAGATCAAATCTCCTCTTTGTTCAGTGGATGATGTCCCTATTAAGATGCCCGTCACCACCATGTGCGAAGTAGTATATGTCAGAGGCGGGCAGTACGGAGCAAATTCCGTCGTTGTTTCCGGGGCGGCTTTCACAGTCTTGGTGCTTGTCCGGAGCCGATTCGTTATTTAGTCTGCCAGTCCCAGGGCTGGAGAGGTTGCCCGTAGGGCCCTTTTGTGTCAAGGAACTCGGTCTGCTTGGGTGGGCGTTCCGGCTTGATACTGGTTGTTCAATGAGTATTTGGAGGCTCCATCAGCCATCGAATGACTGCAAGTTTGAACTTACCCTCAGTTTCTTTGACCACCACGGCAGTATTCTGTAAACCCTTTGGGCTTTCTTGTGATGTATCCTCACTCAAGAGGTTACAGTCGCGGCAGGTTGGTGAGTCGAAAAGAGGTGAGGGCGCAGTTTGACACCCACAAAAATTACTCTTTACATCCCACAGAGAGTCGAGCATGCACAGACGGAGTGAGAGGATACCCGCCCACACCGATGCTCATGCGGAACAAGAGCAGCAACAGCGAATCGAATCTCTCCCTCTATGCCAACTAATAATGTGAGACCAGCAAATACCGAATCTGATCAACGGCTCGACTTCCCAATCAGACCATGACGACATCAGTCGGAGATTCTTTCGCTGGAAATCAATTGGGGGAAATGAATGCCATCTCAGACAATAAGGAGTACACACTGGAATAGGTAGTATGTGGTGATGAAATATTGAGCAGATCCAAGTACCCTCCTTTTATTCTTTGCGTATCTTGTGACGATTTTGAACCCCCAGAATGCCCGGGACGCCATCGACCTACGCGACACCAAAATGGTGGAAAGAAGCCGTCATCTACCAGATCTACCCGTCGTCGTTTCAAGACAGCAACGGCGACGGCTGGGGCGACGTCAAGGGCATCACATCCCGTCTAGACTACTTGAAAGAGCTGGGCATTGACATTGTATGGACGTCACCAATCTACAAGTCCCCGCAGGCCGACATGGGCTACGACATTGCTGATTACAAGGCCATTGACCCCATCTACGGCTCCCTCGACAACGTGGACACTCTGATCGCCGAGCTGAAGAAGAGAGACATGAAGCTCATGATGGATCTCGTGGTCAACCACACGTCCAACATGCATCCGTGGTTTTTGGAGTCGCGCTCGTCGAGGACGAACCCCAAGAGAGACTGGTACATCTGGAAGCCGCCCAGGTCGGTCAGCGACGCCGGCGTGCCCGCACCGCCCAACAACTGGGCCCAGATCCTCGGGGAAGCGAACTCGGCGTGGACCTACGACACGGGCACGGGGGAATACTACCTGTCCATCTTCACGCCGGACCAGCCCGATCTGAACTGGGAAAACCCCGACGTGCGCGAGGCCGTGTGGGACGTGATGCGGTTCTGGCTGGACCGCGGCGTCGCGGGCTTCAGACAAGACGTCATCAACATGATCAGCAAGGTGCCCACGTACCCGGACGCGCCCGTGGTGCTGGATCCCCTGACGCACAAGTACCAGCCGGGGACGCAGTTCTTCGTCAACGGGCCCAAACTGCACGAATACCTCGGCGAGATGCACCGGGAGGTGCTCTCGAAGTACGACACCATCACGGTCGGTGAAATGCCGGGCGTGTCCGACGAAGACGAGATCCTCCGCACCGTCGGCGCCGACGCCGGCGAGTTGAACATGATCTTCATTTTCGACGTGGTGGACATTGACAAGCCCAACGTGCGGATGGCGCTGAAGCCGTGGGACGTCAAGGAACTCAAGTCCATCATCACGCGGTGGCAGCGGTGCATGATCGAGCGGGACGGGTGGAACACGGTCTTCATCGAGAACCACGACAACCCGCGCAGCGTGACGCGGTACACGGACGACAGCGACGGCCTGTGCGACAAGGGCGCCAAGCTGCTGGCCCTGATGCAGACGACCCTGGGCGGCACATTGTTCGTGTACCAGGGTGAGGAGATTGGGATGCGCAACGCCCCGCGCGACTGGGACATTGACGAGGAGTACAAGGACATTGAGACCATCAACTACTGGCGGAAGTGCCAGCAGATCTACAGGCACGACGCGGCCAAGCTCGACCAGGCCCGCAACATCATCCACCTCAAAGCTCGCGATCACGCGCGCACGCCCTTCCAATGGAGTCGCTCGGACAACGCGGGCTTCTGCCGCTCTGGAGTGAAGCCGTGGATGCGAGTCATGGACGACTACAAGACCGGCATCAACGCCGAAGACCAGATGAAGGCGGGGTCGGCCAAGAAGCACAAGCCGAACAACCAAGACGAAGAAGAAGGCGAAGGTGAAGACGAAGAACTGTCAACATGGCAGTTCTGGCAACGCGGCATCCGCGAGCGCAAAACCCACGCCGCGGCCTTCGTCTACGGCGACTACGAGGAACTCTCGCCCTCGGACCCGGACGTCCTGGCCTACCTTCGGACCAGCGCCACGGGCCCGGATCGCTGGCTCGTGGTGCTCAACTTTTCTGGTAAACACGTCGAATGGACGGTACCGACGACAACCAGAGTAGACTCCTGGGTCTGCGGGACGTACACGTCGGGCCAGCCGCGGAAACCGCGCGAGGGCCAGATCCCGCTGAGGCCGTGGGAGGGGTTGTTGGCCAAGTGCCGGTGAAAGGAGAAAGGGAGTGAGATCTAGAGAATAATGATCCATCATAGATAGATAAATCAGACGATCAGACGATGAGA